TCAAGGGTAAGCGGGAACACGCGTGGGCGGCGGAGGCGGCCCAGGGAGGCTGACCCGCGCCGCCCCTGGGCGGGGAGGGCACAGGGGCCCGGTGCCTCTGGGGCGCCCGTGACCGTGGGTTTAGAGATAAGCATGCAAAGTGTCATGGGGTCTTCGGGCCGCATCAGGGTAATAAAGAGTACATAACCATCTACTTACCACACGTTAATTTATTTTCCCATCACAGTCCTACTGGGCTTGGGCTGTAGTCCATGGCGCGCCTGCCCCTTGGCTGCGGTTACAGCCCTCCCCTGTTCCCCAAGCTGTGCCGGCCCTGACATTACTCCATTTGCAATCCACTCCAGAGAGCTGGAAAAACGGGTGCGGATGTGACTAAAATGCCATCCAACCACCCTCTGGATTACCTTCGGCACTGATGTGCAGAAAACTGTGGTGCAAACATGCGTGGGAGGAAGGCAGAGCAGCTCCTACAGCTGGTCCTGGGAGCTGGGTGCTTGTCAGGGCTCTACTGCAAACATGGGCCTGTCTTCTCAAAACAATTCCCAGAGGATCAGGAATATTTTTGGCCTTGCATGACTTGATGTCTTTTTTCAAGTTTTGGCCCATGGGTTGGTCAGTTTTGGGGGTGAGACAAGGGGAAAATACAGTCTTTGCCAGTGTCAACTTTTTCCAATGGCCTTTTCTTTAAAAATTTTGGAACCTTGCATTAAGAAAAAGTTGAAATTTAGCCTAAAAAGAATGGGTTAGCATTTTAAGTTTTAATTTTGCTGTACCTTTAAAAAACTGATGCAATTGCTTTGACAAGTGCATCTTTAAAAATCAATTTTAACTTGCTTTTGGATTTCTAAAGATTTTAGTGAGTAAATACCCAAAGAAATGCTCTCCCTGTTGCTTCACAAATAGCAGCACATACTTTGTATGTGATCTTCATGGAGCAAGTGTGCACAGTCCAATGCCAGAAGACTTTCCTTGTCATTGTGATTTGGAAGTGGACACTGAAACTCTTGGATTTGCTTGCATTAGAGCACATATTTAAAATACACAGGTTCAGCTCATATGGTGGAATGGATTTGCTTGCATTAGAGCACTTATTTAAAATACACAGGTTCAGTTCATATGGTGGAATGGATTTGCTTGCATTAGAGCACTTATTTAAAATACACAGGTTCAGCTCATATGGTGGAAGCAGATGTTCTTCTTCGAGGTGTTGAGGGAGGAAAGGGTGACCCTATCATGGCTCATCCGCCTGAAACAGACAGTGACAACACGTTGCAGGAATGGCTGAAAGAGATTGTGAAGACAAACAAGGGCATCAAACTGGATTTTAAGAGGTATGTAAACAAAACTTACAGACATTTTGCATTCTTGCTAGCCAGCTCTTACTGTTTGGGCTAATTATCTGTTGGTGACAGTAGGACAAAGATTTTTTTCATGTACACTTTAACATAACATGCTTTACTGAACAGAACATAGTCAGTGTTTTTGAATGTGTTGTGAGAATAAATTTTTACTTTTAAGCAGTATAAATGGTTTTCATTCGATATTTTGTTCAGTTTTGCCTGTGACTTTGCACAGCACTATTTAAACTTTTTTTTTTTTTGACTGTCACATGCTGAATTGTTTAAGTAATTTGGCCAAACTCGTTAAGAAGTCACTGAAATTAAGACTGGAAAAGAAGTAGGCTGTTTGCATGTGTTGAACATTTCTTAATGTTCAGGGAGATGGACAAGTGCCTCTCTTTTAAGGAGACAGTTTTAAATTTAGTAGAAATAGCATCCTTGGTCAGGAATAGTTTGAAAACTTAAACAATAGCAAGTAGATCCACTTTTTCAGTTTTCCAACCTCTCCCTCCCCCCCCCGCCATAGGTGGAGTTGAGCAGTGCTGAGCAGAATGGAAAGACAAGACATGGACAATTTGTGACAGAAAAAAATAATTCCATCTTTTGCTTCTGTTATATCATGGGAGTAAGGAGATGGCTGATTTAACTTTATGCGGGCATAAGCAAAATTGTTTGACTTGCAGCTTCCTCTTTGATAAACTGTAGAAAGTGAAAAAGTAAATCCAAAGGCCCTTAGTTGAAGGTACTTAGATTCTGCTCAGCTCCCTGAAAATGTCTGCAGTTTTGTTTCAGACAGAACTATCAACTCTGAGACTGGAGGAACTGTGAGGAGCACAGAAAATCATGCTGTATATTAGCATTGTGGAGCTTGTGGACATGAATGTAACATCGTTCTCCATTTTCTTGACACTAAATTATTCTAGTGTTTGTAGGTGATGCCAGTGCTATGTTACATGACGATAAGAGGAGGAGCAGTGTTTTCCCTATTCCATGAAAAAATCCTTCCAACTAGATCATCTGTCATTACAATACATTGATGTTACTCATTTATTGAGCCTGAAAAATTTTGTGTCAGACAAGTTAAGCAGTTGTCACTTAAAGCTAAGTTCTCAGTAATAAAGTAGCTTAAGGAAACTTACACACTTCAATAATTTATTGGACATTTTTGCTCCAGAAAAACCAAAACCTCAGGTTTGGTGACCGACTCTTTGTCTTGGATGAGAGATTCACTTCACTTGTGTGAGAGAAGCGGCAGTCTTTTATTGAGATAAGATATTGAGATAAGATTCAACAAAGTTTGATGGCAGATAAAACAGGTTTAATAAGATTCGTTAGCGTTTGAATAGATTATGAGGAGGTTGAGTCTTGAGGTTCAGAGGAGTCCAGTTGCAGCTGGATCCTGTCTTAGTCCCAGGCTTGGTCAGTGCTTTGTGTCCAAAGGATTATGTGCACAGCCAGTCAGAGATGCAATTTAGCAAAGTTTGAAAAGTCTCAGCGTGCTGTTAGTCACTCAGCCAGGGTCTGCTGCGGATAAGGAATATCTTGACCTCTGAGTTATCAAAAAAGTAAAGCAGAAAAATTTGGTGTTTGATCACAATTAATCTGTGTTACTGCAGGTTAATTTATGTATTTTTCCCGGTTTAGTCTGTTAGAAGAACTAAGACCCAATTCTACCCCCAGCCCAGCATCTAGCTAATCTGGGTGTTGTGGAGATGATCTCTTCAGGGAAGTTGCATACCTGCAGAGTAAAATAGCTGTTACAACACAGCAGTTTACCATAAAACTGGCTGTTAGAGTATGTTCTATTTGATAATTCAACATTTACCTTCAGTAGCAATTCCGTTTCAGTTAGGGTACATCTAGGAACCTTTTGCACAACTTGGTTTCCTTCTTTTCTCAGATCTTGCTGTTAAGGGTCTTACCTCGCATCCTTGCCTCTGGTAGAAAGTAAGCTCCTTCCTAGGACCCACACAAGGACTGGTAATCAATAACGTGCTTAGAAATTTTCTGTCAAAACCCTTTCCCTTGTATTCAAAACAGATTTTTTTAATGAGGAATACAATCTGCCCTGAGCAGAGTTTCCTAGTTGGGAAAACCAAAATGGTGGTGCCTCTCTGGAAAGCTTGTGTCACGTTTTTGCTCTGTTTGCACAAGGAGCTGGGAGAAGATGGTCTTTGTGCTGGGAACCTGGAGAGATGCCCCCAGGCTGCACGAGGAGCAGCCCGCAGGTCTCTGCCGCGTCTCGGAGCCTTCCGAGGGAGGGGGATAGAGACGTTGGCGCCTTCCAGGGCTTCTGATGAAAGCGAAGGGGCCCGTTCCAGGACTGCTCCAGTTCACCTTAATTCAGAAGCATCAGCCAATACCAACATGATTTTTATTTCACCAGAACCTTTGTTTTTTAAAGAAGAGATTTCTGTGTCCTGATCAGCTCCAGTGTTAATAAATGCTTTGGAGTGAGTCCATTCAAGAATTAAGTGGGATTCTTTAAATATCTGATCTCCTGCTACATTGTTGTCCTGTGATGACAGATTTTTTTGGTATGGAATCTAATGCAGAAAGGAAACTACTGCTTTTCGTATGTTGAACTGTGTGGTTATTGAAGTAGTTTCTTTTTTTTCTGCATAATTTTTTAATTTAAATTTTGAAAGTTCATTTGGAATTTTAACCATGCTGTTCTGAAAGTGTTAATGGAAAATAGGCGTAAAAATCCCATGAGATTGCTTTGAAAAGTTTTAAATGGTCTTCAAAGCCAGCTGCAATTTTCAGCTATACACCTCTGCAGTTCCTAACTGTAGCCTTGTCTGCATATACATATGCAATGTCTGTTTTTGGAACAGGTGGAGAATCCACCTCCATGTTAAAAACAGCTTGATCAAGGCCTCAATATACTACAGAAATGCAAAAATTGAATTTGTCCTGCATAATATAATTTTCACAATAACATTTTATAAAAAGTACAAGAAATGTGGGCAGGCGTCATCCTTTTTTTTGTCACCAAATCTGTAGATGTCTGCCAGGATGTAGAAGGATAAGGAGAAGTAAATTCTTTTTTAATTTCATTTTAATTATTGTTCAAAGCCATTTGAAGACCACTGCTTATTTTTCCATGGGGAGTTTCCAGCCAAGTGCAATGACTCAGAAAAGGTTTTAAAATAATATTGCATTATGTGATAGCAATCACAGAAAAGCATGTAAAAAATTACAAATATGTTTAATTGCACATACAAGCTGCAAATATATTTACACGAGTGACGTGGGATTTGATGTTCTTTTGGATAGCGTTTCTCTGAACAGCGTTGCTGAAGTACCAGTGTGCTTGCTGGGAGCTCTGTGTGCAGACTGTGCGTTTGCGGCGCTCAGTCTGGGCAGTGCAGCTCACGAGCCGGGTGTTGTTGGCGCAGCCTGGAAGCCGTGCGGCCGTCGCTGTCACTTCCTTCTTTCCAGACGTAACCCTGTCACTGGGGTGGTCAACTGGCTGGCACCCTGGAAAATACAACAAAGGTAAAGACGGGAAATAGAGGCTGCGCAGCCAGCTTTGTGCAAGTTCCTGTCAAAAGTGATTTGAGATAAATCGCATGCATTTTGTCAGTTTGAAAATGATGGTGATTATGAGGAGTGGTGGATATTTGATAATATGTGTTATATAGCTACATAGCAGTTAGCTCTGTGGTTAATTGAAATACAACACGTTTGTATGAAGGTCTGATTTGTTGTCATTCTTTAAGTCATTCTCACATATTGAGGAATTATTGGGCCAAATTACTTAACCCTGTTTCAGGCAGAGCTACTCCCTCAATTAGAATGGATTTGGTTTGTTAGTTGAAATTCTGGCACATTTCTGGAAGAAAAATAGTATATTACTTGGTAATTTAAAATCTATCAAAGTACTTGTTATATTTTGTTTTCTGTTTTTCTTTCTAAAATGTAACTATTCTACAAAATGTGTTTTTGATAGGAATCATATTTGCAAAGATTTTTGTTTTTTTAATCAAATGGTCTTTGTTGTAGGCTATGACTGGATGATGGTGAAAGAAATGGCTCAGATATGCAGTACTCTTTCTCAGCCTGTGACTTTCCCTGTAAGAGCAGCGTTAGTGCGACAGTCTCTGTCTGAGCTGTGCTGGTTATTGCAGCAATCAGATAGGTAAGCTTGAGGGGGGGTAATTTTAGTTTTCTTATAAAGGCACATATTTGTTAATGTGAAATATAAAAGCACATTTTTGTTGTTGTTTTGTTTTTAATTGGAAGTTAATGATTTTGCTAAAAAAACAAATGAATTTTCCTTACGTACTTCACAGAATAAATTTTGTGGTTTCTGATATGACTTAGTTTATGTTTTTAAATGGTCTTACAAGGTCCTTAATTTCATAGGAAAATTATACCTATCTATACCTATCTATAACAGAATGAAAATAAAACCTTCACGTATCTTGTAATTTATGCACCTTGATGACCTTATTCTGGTCATCTAAGATTATTAAGGTTGTTCCCAAAGCACCAAAGTTCTCAAAGTCCAAGACAAATCCTTCAAGACGGTCAATTGTTAGAAAAATGTATAGAAACAATAGAAGAATAGAAAACAATAGAAAAGATAGAAAAATAAAATGCTGTTATTCTCATGTGCAGTGGAGCACTGGTGAATAAATTATGATTAAACATTTTTTTACATTGGAAAATTCATTTCAAAATATTTTTATGTTAAAAATAGATTTTTTTTTAATTGTGTCTTTTGTCTTGGCTTATAATTATTTATTATGTTGCTAAACTTTGAAAGTCCAGTCTGAAATTTCTTCGCTGGATGCGTGCCCAGGATTTTTTCCCTTACTAGGTTAAGTAGAGCCAGTGTAGGGATCAGTGTGTTGCAGGGTGGAGGGTGCCCTTCTTTAAAAGAATTGCAGCCTTTCTTGGGAAGTTCTAGCTTGTTTAGCTTTCGGGGAAAAAATCTTGACTGGAGCCAAATTGGGGGACTTACCTCTGTAATAAGAAAATAAACACCCAAATGTGGCCAAGGAATAGAGTTCTGCTAATTTTAGTTTGCCTGTGTGAAGGAGATGTTTTATTGAGAGGGTAGCAGTCCTACTGTGAAACTAATGTGTCTCTGCTGAGCATTCTGTATACAAACCACCAAACCACGACGGGTTTGAACGTGGCCAGCGTTGGGAGTAGCGTTTTGATCCAGCAGCTGCTGTTGACAATAACGTGAAGTCACCGTGGTGGGGAGAGGGGAGAGACCCTTGGATGCTGCTTGGGCTCCCGCTTATAGCACAGAGTGGAGGAAAGCAGTGAGAGAGAATGCAGGGGGCCGAGCAGAGCAGGGACATGTAGACATCCAGATCTGGTAGTTCACAAACTTTGGTTGCTTAACTTTGAAATGGAAGGAGCTTAAATTTATATGCAATTACATTCCAAAGTTATGACACTGTTCTGAATAATTTTAGAATCTTATTAGTGCCATGTCTTTGTCTTGTATACCTTAAAATAAGATAATAGTCTATTAATTTAAATCCTCTTTTCTTCTCTCTTTTTTTTTTTTGTATAGATATAGCCTCACTGTTTGGACAGGGAAGCAAGACGAGTATTCTGTAGAAGATTTGCTGCATATACGAGAGCACGTTGATAAAAGTAGAGTCTATTATGATATCTTAGAACCACAAAACTCTGAATTCAAAAAAGCCATAGGAATAGAATATTAAACATGATGCTGGCAAACTCTGACCTTACAGTCTCTTTAATGTGAAGGTTTCTTATTCAGGAGAATTTTTTTTATGTTGTTTTGTTTGTTTTTGTGAAGTGTATAGAAAATATCCATGGATAATGATTCTTTTTTAGTAATAGTTCAAAAGATTTTCAGATAGAAATATAATGCCTTCTTTAATAGGTCAGAATTGCTTTTCATATGCATGTTCCCTTTCCTTCATCCAGCATCAGGTAGCAAAGAGAACTCATGTTCCTCAAAACCTTGAAACGTGCAAGAACATTTACAAGCATCTAAAGGGATGTGTTGCTGGCCCCTAACTGAGATTGGTAATTTTGCTTTTGTGCAAGCAGAGTTTGTGATGCACTGTATCTCTACCAAAGACCATATTTTACCTTCTGTATGGAAGGACAAGCAGGGAAACAAGACTAGTAAGTACAGCAGAACGCATGTCCTGAAGGAGCTGCTTGGTAGCTTATCTTGATGTTACTGCATTTTTAGTGCTGTCATAATTGATAACATTCTCGTCTCATGTCAAGAGAAGACTGTGTTTGCTGGGTGTTCCTGCTGGGGTCCATGAAGATCCACACGCAGGAGAGAAAATGGTTACTTGCTCAGAATTAGCACTAAATCCATTCTGTGCAACGCGATCCTTGGGAATTTCCCATGCTGGCTTCCCACCCTCAAAAGAGCTTGGGAGCTAGAGAAGTGTTGACTGTTCCTTCAACTAAATGCAACTGTAACATGAATTAGGCATAATGTTCTGCTGAAGTCTTTCTAAAAGCCAGAGACTGTGTGAATGAAATAGCTGTAGAATGGTTAGTGTTACAGCAATAATTGTGCACTTCTGTGATTGTACAGTTGTTTTCTGTATTTTTCTGGATTCATATGCTTTTAACTCTTGTAATACTACTTCAGAAACTTATGAGAAGTTGAACTTTCTTTGAGGAAAAACTAAATTCATTGCCACACTGTTTATTATCGGCAGGAAAAGACCTACTTTATTTTTATCATTCTTGCCTCTGTTGCTTTTATCTTTTCAACTGTATACTGACAGCGAAATCTCTGCAGATGAAAATGCAAAAGGAAAGGAATGCAGGAAAAACCTGAGATTTTCCTTTTATCTAAATTTTGACTTTATTTTGACTGCACATATTGAATCTTTTTTTAATTGTTATTATATTGGCAAATACAGCTATAATAATATATTACATTATTCAATTCTCAGTAAATAGTTACAGCAAACTGTATTTCTGAAACTGAGCAATCAGATTTTTCTGATGAATTAAAGTTTAAGAGTTGCCAATACAGACTGAGTTCAAATTTTGAATGATGACATTCTTCATTTCCTTCATTTTCTGTAAGGCTTGCCAAAAATTTCCAGCTTCTTTCTTAAAGCTGTTACATTTATGTGTGGGCTGAGGGGGTATGGAGGAAGACAGAAACTCTTCCAAAGCAAAATCGGAAAAATTGTACAAGCAAAGTACAGAAATTTTAATTTAAAACCTGTTATTGTTTTGTTTTGGCAAGACCATAGACTTTTTTCTGCTTGCTTTAGGTTGTTCATTTATTGCCACAAGAATATCTTGCTCATGCAGGATATGCAGAGTTTCATGTACAATCTTGGATTGACCTCTGACCAAAAGCGAGGGCTGCTACATAAAACCCAAGTTAGGTTCTTTTATCAGACTTCAGTTTGCTGCATCCCTGACAGAGTTTTAACAGGTGAATTTTGGCATATGTCAACAAGTGTCCTAAGAGGGTACTGTGTTCCTCTAGCTGCTACTATTTCTGAGTTGTCTTTTCACTGAAGATGACTTGAGATTATTGCGTGCTTGTAATACCCTTTTAGACCTCCTTAGGGGAGGATGCTGCCTTCACGCAGGTTCCTGTGTTTCAGCGCCAGGACTGCATTAGGTGTGAAAATGTTGCAGTTTGAAAGCCGTAGTGGTGGTTGTGGAGGGGAAGGGCATATCCAATCAGTATCGGATTCACAGTCCGTGGACTGTAGGTCCAATTGCCCTCCTAGGAGCGAATCGAGTTCCCAAATAGTGTGATCCACTATAAGCTCGACCCTGGCAGTATCGGATTCACGAACAGTCCGTGGACTGTAGGTCCGATCGCCTCCCCCCACACAAGTAGCCAAGTTCACAAACAGTGTGAGTTATTCAAATGCAACATTTACAAAGCAGGTTTCGGATGTCAGTACAGGAAATTCTCTACTGGAGCGTGGGGTTTTAGCTAGCTCTGATGTACAAATGTGCAATCAGGATAATTTATTCAAATGCAACATTTACAAAGCAGGTTTTGGAAGGCAGTACAGGAAATTCTCCACTAGAGTGTGGGGTTTTTAGCTAGCTCTGGTGTGCGAATGTGCAATTATCACTCACCCCAGAAGATGGGAGAGGGCTCTCAGTCTCGAGTCTCCTCAGGCGGTGTGCCAGTACAAGGGGAGGAAGGGGGACCGGCCCATCAACTGACCCAAGAGTTATGATGATTTCTTACTTCTCTTTTTCCCTCAAGTTCACCTTTTGTACTTTTCTTTACATTCAGGTGGAGCTTGAGTGACTAGAGTCATACTTAATATTGTTATTGATTGGTGAAAAAGTTTCTCGCTTTCATTTAAAGGTACAGTCAACCGGAAATCTAGAGCGCATGCTCAGTGAGGGGTGGTCGTACCTCGGAGGCGGGTAACTCTTGGGATGGAGGTATGGTTTTCACATTATAATGAGCAAAGTTCCAGCAAAGTTCATCATTTGCCACTTTTGCTGGCTCAGCACCAGACATGTTATCCTGTATCTCCCATGGGACAGCCACTGTGCGGCTTAGCAGCAGCCCAGCACAGGGAGCGCAACAGAGTTTGGCCGCGGTGCCTTCACCCCGCTCCGTCCTCCGTTACTCCCCTTTGCAGCTGCGAGGAGGGCAGGTTGTGCTACCCAGGGAGCCGTGGAGGAGCAGAGTTCGTGCGTACCAACCAACCTGGAAGTGGCAACTGTGTTATCACCCCAAGCAGGCCTCTGTAATGCCAAAACTTCTGTTAGGCCCTAGTTTTCCTCTCAGTTCCTGCTTTCAAACAATTCTTCCACGCTAGGGTAGCAGGTCTGGGTGTTCCCTCTGGCCAGCCCCACTGTGGGAGACCTTAACTTCTGCCACAGGCTGCAAGAGACAGCTGGGAACAGCAGCACCTTAGACTTCCATAGCACAGCTTATTCGTTAAAATCCCTCACAAAGAACCATTTGTGTTGTGCTTCCAGTAAATTTTCAGTAAAAATCTTAAAGTATTCTATCATTTTCTGAATTTTGAATATTAGAATTTTGGAGGCAGTTATTTGTTTTTCATGTCCTTTTATTCTTTGTTCTCTTTAATATCTCAGAGATTCTTCTGTCATTAAAGCTGATGCTTTCACTGCTTAATTGCTATTCCTATCATTGCTCTAAAATAAAAAATTGCATATGCAAATCTGTAAACTCAATGGGAATCTGTCTGAGCAGAACTAAAATGTATTTTAAAAAGATGTTCTAGCTATTGTGTTTTTAAAATGCATGTACAGATCGAGTGTATATTTTAAAATCAACCAACTTTCCAGAGGGAAGATAATAAGTCATGCTCTCTGTGGTAGCTTATATATATATATGTTCAAAATTTCTAGCTAACTGCTTTGGGAAGGGAGCAGAAAGTTGATTACATTCCATTGGCATGCATGTGTACCGGAATTTCAGGAATTTGGGGATAACCTGGACTATACACAGTTTTTTTGTGTCTCGTGCATTCTAAAGTCTTGGCATTTTTTTAAGCAGCACTTGATGTCAGCTGAATAAAAATTCACTTTGTTTTTCCTGACCTGGAACATAACCTCTGAATTAATGTTAGACCTAAGATGTGATGCTAGACAGAGACCTGTGTTAACAGGAGATGCCATTTTTGTGTTTCAATTTAAAATAGTGGTTTTGATTTCATGTAGATGTGGCAATCTTGTGGCAATTTCTGAAGTGTTAACACCTTGTCTTTCCAAATCTCAGGTTAGGTGAGTTGAAAGCTGCCTCCATTTCTCCTTGGTTTCTGCTTGTTGCAGTGCTCCCTGGCTGAATGTCATGTTGTGCAGTCCTGCAGGTGAGCAGAGCTCAGTGGGGCTGAGCCTTCACAAGGCAGGAGGCTCCTTGGCCTAAGTGTTTTCCTGATCCAATGACACACTCCACTTGCTATGTAATACAAACTGCAGCAGAGGATTAATATGGATGCAAGATCAGTGCTAAACAGTTCTGCTGTAATGCCTGTATGGTTGTTTGGTTATGGTTTGGTTTGCAAACTTGGGAGTTTTGACGGGGATTTACAAGGAATTTGTTAACTTGAAGGGTCTGCACAAAGTAGCTTAGCTGCTTGAATCTGCAGAGTGACTAGGTCCCTAATCCTGGGGTTCTGGTGCTGGCTCTGTACAAAGATGCATGTCGATGTGTAAGCTGTATTTTTTTTATATGTTAAAACCAAAGGGTGCTTTCTTTAAACCAATTATAAACATCAGCTGCCAAGGAGACACCTGTATCAGATAATGAAGATAATTCCTTCTCTGAAGGAGAGGAATTTTGCAGAATATTCATGTTTTAAAGCATAGCCAACTTGGGGAAAAGAATACAAGAACTAGTATCTTTTCAAAAGGATTATGAGCTGCATAATTTATCTAAGTAATTAGTCATAAAAGTTGGCATTTTATTGCTTTCATCCTGCAAAGAAAACCTCGGTTTTCTTAAGACACATCTTTATCAAAACTGATCTCACTCAAGGTTTTATAGAGCCTGCAAATCTTTAAACTTTAAGAAGAAAGTGCTCATATAGGAAATATTGTACAAAATGCAGCCTTCCCTCAAACTCCCTGCTTCAACTTAAAGATTAAAAAAACTCATCTCTGTCCTGCATACAGTGTGTACATTTTTGTAGGATGATTATTTGTGACTAAAATTAACGTTTCTCTAGGAAGCCCTGCTCTTGTTACATGAGCAGAATGGTAAATTGATGGAGTAATGGTTTACTAATATAAGAACTCCCTTGAACAAAAATACCTGGGTTTGGTTGGAAAAATAATTAGCTGTGCTACTTAACAGATGCAGAAAGGTAAAGGTCCCATCAGAGCTTGATGTGGAAACAAATAAAATCATTTAATGACTTTTAGTTTAATAATTTTCTTTTGTAGCTACATCAATTTATGCTAATATTCTTTTGCAAGTGCTACATTCTTTTTCATAACTGTAAAAAAAATAAAAATAACACCTTTAACTCTGCCTTTCACCTTAAAGTAAACAATAAATAACAAAAAGTGCAGGGAAGGATATTTTGCAAACTATACTTTGAACACTGGATATATCCTTAAATGATGGTTCTTACAGCATTTATATACAGTGACTATCATATTTCTTAAAATATCCGAGATAGCAGTTGAGTGCCTGGTTTGGGATGATCGCTGTTTTTGTGAGGCCACCATTATTTTTAGAGGAGAATAATTTTGCTTTACAGCTCCACAACATTTTGCAGAGAATAGAAACATGGAAGATAAAATATTTTCACCTTTTTAAACTGTTATATGATCTGCAAAAATCTATCACATAGATCCAAAATCAAAAATCTCTTAAGTGGCGTATATTACTGAAAGATGTAGCTTATCTTGACAAGCATGCTTACTCACAGAAATGTTACTTCCATTTTAAATAGTTTAAACTACGACTGTGTAAAGATTTATGAGATTAATCTTTGGTGAGTGGATGAGTTTCACTATGAGTTTCACTATAAAATTGAGTTCCTAATTCTCCAGCAATTCCTATAGCATTTCTGTTTTTCCAGCATCCGCCTTGATGTGCGGATAGCAGCGCTAGCCTCAGCCAGTGTCCAGCCCCTTTCCTGCTGTTTGGTAGGTCTCTGCCCATCTCCTTAGCCACAGAGTTGACATTTCAGATGCTGCCCCTCTTCAGCTCTTTCACACGTTATTCACCACAGCTCCCCAAGTAGTCTTTTTTGTAAGAGATACTGCTTCCTGAGATAAATTCATCATCAAATATTAATATATTGCTTTTTTCTAAAATGCCTGATTATATATTGCCCCATCAAAATATATAGTGTGTATTTGCTTGTACCCAAGCCATCAAGCAATCCAGGTGAGATATTTTTAAAGCAAATACCGCTGTTGATAGAGGCACTTGTACTCAGTTATGTAAATCGATTTCAAAGCTAGTGTTGGCAAAACTAGTCGTTGGCATCACTGAATTTGACCAAGAATTTTCTGGGCAACTTCTGATGCAAGGTAGCATTTCCAGTGTTTCAGACACTGATATGTTTAGTGTTGATTACCTTAATGATCCAAGCGATTTGATTAGGAATAGTTCACATCCCTAAAGATAAGCGTGCGCACACGTGGATCACATTCTCATGTAGTTCAGTGGCAGTCACTGAGGCACTGGTATTTTGTTCTGACAGTGACTTAGACTGTATTTGAGTGTAGTGTTGTCATCATGCAGTTAAAAGCAGCACCATAATTTAAATACTATTCTAATAAGAGTGATCCTTGAAATCAGAGCTGACCTCTTGGACACCAACATGCCTGAAAAGCTTTTAAAACTATGAAACTTCTTACAGTTTTTACAGGAATATATGATGCCTCTTATCATGCCTCTTAAAAGGAGAAGGAGCAAGGAAAAATAATCAGCTTGTCATTTTTTATCAAGATGTATAAAGAACACCTCAGACATGTTGTTTTTAAACCCTCCAAACTTTCAGGGAAATTTAACATTAGCTTCAGCTCTTGTTTCACATTCTTTGTTTAAAAAGCTCTTAAGAATAACTGGAGAACAAGTAGGATTAAGACTTTGAAGACAAAACAACTGCTGCTTTACTGGAAGAGTATCACCCACACAAAAGAGAATATACTAGCTTAGCTATATTGGATTAAATCTAATTAACTATTCAAATTCTCCTATATAGAAGCAGTCCTGGTAGTGACTGAGAATTTCCAAAGTGATGAATGAGAGGATGTGTCTATTTCCATACTCCCTCAATGGGGAAAAAAACCCACCACCAACAAAAAACAACCAAACCAAATTGTTTTTCATCTCAAGGTCACTTGTGATGCTGATGTAATGATAACTATTAATGTTGTTTTTCCATGTTACTACTTTATCAAAATTAAGTACAAAATTCTTCCAATGCTATAGAAAAATTTAATTTTCAAGTGAACCATTTGTCTTTTATTTTCCCTCCTATAATCTAGGCTTTTGAAAATAATTACTGTTCTGTCTATAGAAACACTAGTCTCATGTATGTAATTAATTATAAAATCCAAGCAGGGCGAATCTGGTTTTATACAGCAAGCAAATAAACCAGTTAGAATAGCTAGTCTTTAGTTGATATTGTCTAAACAAGAATTCATTGAAAAATCCTTAAAGAGCTATTTCTAACAGCAGATATTTAACTTCATTATGAGATGAGTAGAAAATTGCAGTTTCCATTTAAAATATCATGAAAACATGTGAAAAGTATGGTTTCCATATGTGCTGCTTATATAGAATAACTTGTATTTAGTTACTAATTTAATATTGCTTTCTATTGTATCGCTTAATTCCTCTGCCATAAGAAACATCACTGTCATCTTCCTTGTCTTTGCCTGCTACGTGGATGCTCATCCAGCATGTACTGCAGAAAAGGCCCTCCTTCGTCTAGAACCTCCGTGGAACCAAATATTCCATGAGCCTCCCCATCCTTCCACCAGTAGCTCTCAAAACATACATAACTGTTTTCAGAACGTTTTCATTTTGGATACAAAACTGTACAAACATACTTATATTCCAATAAGTCAAATATGAAGAAAGCATCATGCAGATCATTGTGGGCTTTTTCAGCTATTATATGTCAGTTTCAGTGGAGATAGGACTGGAGGATACCAAAAGAAATTCAGACTTTCAAGACCCATATTTTGTGGTAGGAAATAACTTAGACTATTAGTGGTAACAGTTTGTAGCTTTGTTTATTCTAGCTACCTTTGAGGGCCTGGACAGAAAATAATAATAATAATAATAATAATAATAATAATAATAATAATAATAATAATAATAATTTGCCTCCAAGCCATCACGTCACTGCAGACCTACATAATAGCAGCAAAATTAGTTTCAAAATTTAAACCTGCAATTTAATTCCAGTACTTGATACAGAACTGTGTTGCATAGGGAAGTAAATCATGCACCATTGTTTTCCAGTTGGCTAATGCTTCTCCCTCTCCCTCCCCGCCTTTTTTTTTTTTGAAATGTGTATATTGTAAATTATAGGACGTTTTAGTGTTTTAATATTTATTATTTTATGTATGCTTGTAATTATTTGAAATTATCTTACAGGAAGGGCAAAACTAAATACCATCACAGCTGTGTGTTAGGAAATGTATTATCATACTGAGTTAATTTTAACTGAAGCTGCAAGAAGGCAGGTAGTCCCCACTGAGTATTTTCAGAAAATAATACCTAGGTTCATTATACAGAAATTCCTGTTACAAGCCACCATTTTAATACAGTTAATACCTGTAAAGTAAGGCAAAATAGACCACAGTAAATATGCCTTTGTCTTTAAATCCTGTCTTATAAAATGCTAAACGTTGTAAAGTGTCCAGTTGTAACAAATACCAGTTGTAAAGTGTCTCTGTACAAACACGGGGTTGATGTTTGGAACCACAGAAGGAAGTGGGAAGGAAAATTACCTTTCAGATAGAGGTACTTATGCAGTAACTTGGAGATGAAGATGTATTTCTGGTTCCTTAGAAATTCAGCACTCTGTTTTATATTAGGCAAAATAAGAGTTATCAGGATATCACACAACTTGGCCAGAGCTACTGGTCTGAGGTCCAGTATCTTAGTCAAATGTTTGAAATTCCCAATTTCACCTGTGCATTTGGAAGAAAAAAAAAAAGTGCACATTTAGGGAAAACTTGGAGGGTCATTCCAGTGTAAAAATGAGAACTGCACTGCCTTAGGATTTAGCTTTTGTGAATTCAGCCCATCCTGAGTAAGATTTCGATTTTAAATTTGAAAATACTATGAAAAAGATGAAATAAATATTCCTCACTTTGCAGAAAGCAGCGTAATTAGCTGAATGTGTCTTTGCATATAACATCTAAGCTGTTTAACTCATTCCAAGGTAGACAACTAGTTATGAGCCTTACATTTTAGATCTGTCTTTTGTGATGCGTATCATTATAATCAGACAGAACTGCGAATATGTACACATTGTAAAGATTTTGTTACCCTTTAATCTCCTCTTAAAAATTTACTAATTGCTTTATCTGCTCAGTTTGTAATGACTGCCTCCTTACCAGCATTTTCTGATTTTTGGTCTCCTTAGGAAAAGCAGGTGCTGTTGGTACTAAAATTTTTTGGCCACAAGAAATCATCCCAGAAACATTATTTATGAAACTAACATCTGAAGCTGGGCAGTGAGGATTCACATTTAATGGTGGAAGGAAACCTGGTCTGCTTGGAGTAATGTGATCCAACAACAATGCTCCTGAACCTCGTCTTTCTAGAAAAGCTTGATTTCTTCTGCTCAGAGAAACAGCGGGCATGTTCTCTAGCAATTCCCTAGAGCCTGACAACAAAGAGGGAGATGGAGAAAGAATCTTTTTCTTTCGTATCACTGACTTAGTATCGTCTGCAGCACTAGGACCCAGGCTAGTAGTTAACTGAGAATCAGAGCTGTAGTGATTTGCTCCTGAATTTCTTTTCTGGATAATGCTTCTCAGGGTTGAAAGGAAGCTGATTTGTCCCAAATCAGAATCCTCACCCACAGAAATCCCACTGGAGTTCTGTTTCCCTTCAGCATAAAGAGTCTGAGAATTTATTTCATCATATGATAATTTCCTTGATCCAATTTGATCAAAAGTTTTCAATAAGTGAGCAGTGTCTTTTACATCAATACTTTGGTGTCTGGTGATAAATCTCTTTGATAGTGCAAGGCTATTGATTTTAAAAGAGAGCTCCTCTTCTGGAGTTATATCCTGAAGTTGCTCCTGCAAAGAGGCAACTTTGCTCCGGAGAAGCCGTGAAGTAGAGCTCTTCATCCAGGGCTCGGCCTGTAGCCGCTCTGCCTGTACCAGCTTGGAGCCTATGTGTGTTGAACTGGATTTTTTAGTAGGAGAAACTGGGTCAGCAGAGTTGTCTGGGCTTCGTGGATCATCCAGCTCTTTAAAGCTGAAAAGTGCTTTTTTAGTTTCATTTGTACTTGAAAGTGGAAATGGAGATGTTTTCAGCTCTATTTCCGACGGGGAAGTGCAAGCACTTGGAGAAGGGGACTCCTCAGAGTCAGCAGGAGGCACGTTTAGATACTGCTTAGTTGTCTGCTTTCCCGATGCAGACTTGTCCGTGGTGATGATGATGACTTCTTTGCCTCTTGCTCTGCAGGCACGAAGAAGAACGTTCAGGGTCTCTCTGTCTTCAGCGTTTATTGCATACACGAGGGCAGAGCAGTTGGAGTGATCCTGTAGGCTTGGGTCGGCTCCACTTTGCAGCAGCAGAGAAACCACTTCTGGGCCTGCTTGTTCCAGGCAAGCGTGCATCAAGGCTGTCTTTCCAGATTTATCCTGTATGTTTGGATCTGCTTTGTTTTCCAGGAGGTATTTAACCATTTTTGCCTTGCTGACGCTCTGGGAGTCAACATGCTTTGTCTTACAAGCAATCATTAAGGGGGTTTCACCTCTGTCATTGCTTTCATTAATGTAGGCACCCCCCTCTAGTAACAGCCTGGTGAGACGAAGGCGGCTTTGGTAGACGGCTTTTATGAGAGAATTCCCATCCGTTGGCAACTCGTCCCCAGTTTCACTCATGGCACTTGTCTCTCACTCGCCCCTTCCTAGCTGCTGCAAAGAATACCTGGTTTTCAGAGAAAGTAAAATAAGTCAACAAAACAACAACAACAAAAGATTTAATTGCATGAATTTCTCCTGTACGTTCCCCAGTACTTTGTGAAAGATCTATGCAGACGAGGGGGGCAGGGGGGCAAGGAAAACCCTCCCCCCTCCACTACCTCAGGAAATACATTAAAAAATTGAAACACTATCAAATATAACTACAACATTTACATGTTTAAATAGCTCCTCTTTATATTTTTGTATGCCTGGGCCTTCATCACACTCTGCCAAATAAGAGGCAAAGAAAGTATCATTCTGGACCCTGTAATGGCTTTATAGTGACTGCACCTAAGTGGCACCACCCTGGTTGTGCGTGCTGCTCGTGATTTGCACCAGTTGAACAGAATGAATACTGCAGTGTTTTTGTTAACTGATGTTAGATATGGTGACACATTTACCTCTTTTTTTTTTCATGGAATGAGAAGGCAAAACATCTAAGGATTCATGAGAAAAAAAATATATATTTGGCCTGATAAATAAGAAAGGTGAGTGCACTAAGTATTTTTATATATTAGTCGTAAAAATAGTGGGACAATGGATATTAATGTCCTATATAAAAGCAGGAATACTTGTGGAAGTATCCTACCTTAGACTGCTTTGAATACCTACCAGTCAGTGTGAAACTACATAAATGAAATGAAATCCCACTCATCATGGAGACTGGGGGGCTGAGAAGAGGCCACTACCTGGGCATGTAGTATCAGCTCTAAATAAAAAAAAAAAAAAAAAAGCATTTGATAGGATCAGAGGAAAAAAAATAAGATTTCATGTGAAAAATGAAGAACTTAATGTGGTATAAAATAGTGAAAGGTCTGGCATGAATGTACCTATGCCTACATGCAATCAATAAATTACTTTTCTGTCAATCTTGTATACGCCTGCTTAAAATAAATGGAGGAAAAATCTTTGGTACCAAAGAAAAAAATCAATATTTAACAGCTGGAAGAGCAGTAATTCCAATATGAGATGAGCCAGGAATATGAAAATTACATGTTTACTATATGATCCTAGAAGAATAAAAGTGTTTAGTTTATCTGCAAAGGAAAGTAATGGACTCATCTTCATTTATCCTCAAAAACATTAGTTTTCTGATAGATAATTGAACATCAATAGTTTTACTTCAAATTCCAGAACCAAAGGATGATGTCACTGTAGTTTGTTCCAGAACTCCAACAAACAACAGTCAGTTGAAATACAGGTGTGAAATTTGTATCCCAAGGCTTTTCCCCCTCGCTTTATTTCGTTCCATAGCAGAATGTGGCAAAGCTCTGCAGCTACAAGTGCTTTGATTTTATTAAGCAAGGATGCTCACAAGTTTATTAGACACCAGGAGAACAGTTAGAAGGTGGTAAGGAACATGGAGCAGGAAATACAAACCTTGTTACAGAGTAATAGAAGTGCAACAGATTACATTATATATAACATAGATTACATCCCTGAATGCTGGATGGAGATGACTTTGCTGTGATCTGTTTGACTCAGGGATATATGGGGTTATATAATGCTAAAAGTGCCACCGTGGGAAGGAAGGGCGGTGGGACTCCCACGAGATCTACGCTGACACTGGCTCAGTGAAAACATACGTTCGCCAGCTGGACTGGATATAACCTGCACCAAAAAAAGTGCTTAAATGGTAATTTTGAGATGAAAGCCCCCAGATCAAGCAGATTCTCCAACATGCTAGTTTGGTTATTCATGATGGGTTGATACTAAATAGATTGAGATTATAAAGTATTCCTAAATCTAAGTAAATGCAACATTAGGAACACCTAGTGTCTGTGAAATGTTGGAGGTTACGTGGCTGCTTTTCAGTTGTGGGAGTAAACTGGTGCCAGGAGAGCTCCTCAACCCCGAGCTGCAGCGAGACCTGGTTAACGATAAGCAGCGCTCTGCGGGTCTTTCCCATCACCCACCAGGTTCTGGTGTTCTTGCACTAAGAGTATTCTAGGAATGCTATTTCCTCCTAGCATTTCATATTCAAAATATAAAATTGTTCTAAAAACTGTGAATGAAAATATATGATGAAGGAGCATGAAGCACCTTGCAGTATGAGAAACAAATGGTTTTTGGAGCCAGTGATGGTTTGTTTCCAAGGAGCAGGCAGACAGACATTACTTGTATATTTGTACACAAGTACCTGTCCTCAGGTCAGGTTGGCAAGTATGGGACAGTGATAACCTAGAGTCCTATTCTGATATAACATCTATTGCCATCATAGTGGAAAAAGCCATTAAGCCCCAAAATTTTACCACTTTTTTCTTTTTTTTTCTGCTTGCTAATTTGTAAAAAGCACTTAATTACTAGGAAAAAAACCCTTGAAGAGTTTCTTTATGTGTAACAGCATGAAATTGAAGGAAAAAAAAAAGCTCACTGGCGTTTCCACATAAAAAACATTTTCACTGACTAAAGGAGTGCCCTAAATCAAAGTTCTTGCAACGTATTTTTTGCCTGTTTGCAGTTAAAGACAAGTTTTCTGCCCTCTGTATATGACACAAACAAGGTCTCATGGTAAGTGCTTAGTCCAGTGTTATTCTACTAAAATTAAGTCACCAACTCTCAGCTCTGAAAAGATGAACTTACACAGTTAACAAACCTTAAAAAACTTCTGTGATTTTCAGGACTACTGTAACCCTGTAAACCTCCTTGGTCAGTACAACAAGAGCTCCATTTTACTGTACTACATCATACACACATTAAAATGTTTCAGGTACAGAAAGGACTTTTAAGAATTGCCATTTACCAGCTGTACCATGCAACTTCCCATAGCAATGCCTCTGTCTCTTCAACACTGCTAGTTTCCACAGTTAACTGGTGGCCAGGGTTTCCAGTCAAATCAGTTTTTTACATAGTTCTTTGGTTGTACCTTTGAAGAAAGCTTGGAGAGATCTAGCCAGCCTGTTCAGTAGCTGGCACAATATTTATCATGTCTCCACTTATTCATCTGGAGGGTTTTCTATAGTAGCAGTTACCAGCAGAGAGAGGTCGAGGTGTGGTGGGACTGGGAGGTTTGTACTGGGAGGAAAAGTTTGAACTGGGGAGGGTCTGCACTAATGTGGCTGTTGTGGCTCGTGCTCATCTCACTGCTTCCTGCCATGTAACATAATGCCTGAAATGGTTTTGCTGAGGGAGACCTGGAAAAACAGGGACCAGAGCTTTCTCTGGAGGTCTGTGGAGAATACAGCTGAAAAATACAAACGGAGGCCAGAACAATGATAGTGTTAAAAGCTCTTCTGTTAAAATTCATTGAGAGGGAAGTGACCAGTGCTTGCTCTTCATTTTAGCCTGAGAAAACCCGTTTCCAAGAAAAACATCCCACATGCAGGCTGAATTCCATCATCCTTAGTCCCGGTAACCTTTAGACAGAGCCAGCTGCAAGCTGAGCTAACGCGGCAAGGCGCGACCGACCGGCGCAGCCCCAAGCGGCCCCTGGGCATCGCGGCCCCGCGCTGCCCGCCGGCGCTACCTCCCCGCTCCGCCGTCCGCGCAGGACA